CTCCCACGCCCCCCCCCCCCCGCCCAAGAGCTAGCAATCCAAAACAGTCCAGTGGAGCCTGAGCGGTGGGTGTTGCCTTCTGACACACTTCCGGTGATGGCAGGGGGTGTGGCATATGCAAATAAGTTATGCTAATGAGCTCATGCACCTCTTTTTCTATGAAATTACCCCTGCTTAAGACTGCCCTTGGTAATGCATAGACCCATACAACATCACCACAATTTGTGTTACATTGACATTGCAGAGACTGTACTGTTGCAGATGCTTAAAATGTGTTGAGGTGGGGAAACCACAGGTAGAGACATAAACATACAAACAGCTTATGTCATGGAGCAGATTTCCATGACTAGGTTTGGGATTAGCTTCCACCTGTGCTAAACCACATATAAACCCTTTTACCTGCCACTCCCACAGTGGTTAGTTTTATGGTAGCAGAGAAGCAGCTTGGGAGAACCTATGTGAGATGAATGGCCAACAATTAGGAGGGAAATTTGAGCTAACTGCACAGACCTCACTTCCGCCTTGTCACACGATGCAGAGTCTCACCTGGCAGGGAACAAATTCAGGTGGGGTAGCTGTGTTGCAGCAGAACAGAGTTTGAGTCCAGTAGCACCTTTAAGACCAACAAAGTTTTATTCAAGGTATAAGCTTTCATGTGCATGCACACTTCCTCAGACACATTGAAAGGGACGTTTTATCAGTCCATACATATAAATAAAGGGTGAACAGCAAATTAGCTTATAACATAATGAAGTTGTTTTAACAGATGTGAGCACCAAACAGGGATAACAAACTTAAGTTTATATGGTCAGCATTTATTTGGATTCAATGCGGGGGGGGGGGGACAACAAGTAAATACGTCATTTTTTTTACATGTTTGTTTGTTTTCCTCCCCGGAATTGAATCCAAACAAATGCTGACCATATAAACTTAGTTTGTTATCCCTGTTTGGTGCTCACATTTGTTAAAACAGCTTCATTATGTTATATGCTACTTTGCTGTTCACCCTCTATTTATATGTATGGACTGATAACTTCCATTTCAATGTGCCTGAGGAGGTGTGTGTGCACACAAAAGCTCACACCTTGAATAAAACTTCTTTGGTCTTGAAGGTGGCACTGGACTCAAACTTTGTTCTACTGACAGGAAACAGTATCTGAAGTCAGTACATGAGTGTCTTCATCTCGTTAGTACTTTACTTTTCTGTCTCCCTTGTTAAGAACATGGCTTTTCTGTGTCTGCATCTCTGTTGTAGTTCTAGAAAGAAGATACCCAAAGGAGGTTCAAGATCTTTATGAAACCATGAGGCGTTTTGCAAGAATACTAGGACCAATGGAGCATGACAAATTCATTGAAAGCAATGCATGTAAGCATCTGGACTTCATTTTTCATGTTCTTTTCTCTGTCAGCAGCAGAAAACATGGTGGCCTGTGTAAAGATCAGACATGACTTCTAGAATCATAGAATTATACAGTTGGAAGGGACCTCCAGGGTCATCTAGTCCAACCCCCTGCACAATGCAGGAAATTCACAAATACCTCACCCTTCAGACCCCCAGTGACCAGAAGGTGACCAAAAACCTCCAGGATCTCCAGCCAAACTGATCTGGAGAAAAATTGCTTCCTGACCCCAAAGTGGTGATCAGCATTTCCCTGGGCGTGTAAGAAAGGGCCACAAGACCTAAGCATTAAGGCAACCCTTCCTGCCCTCCCTCTCATGATCTAAGTTCCCAGAATCAGCATTGCTGTCAGAGGGCCATCTAGCCTCTGTTTGAAAACCTCCAAAGAAGGAGAGCCCACCACCTCCCGAGGAAGCCTGTTCCACTGAGGAACCGCTCTAACTGTCAAGAAGTTCCTCCTAATGTTTAGCCAAAAACTCTTTTGATTTAATTTCAACCCATTGGTTCTGGTCTGACCTTCTGTAAACTGTAACAAGGGGCATCAAATATCCCATGCCAAAATATCTTGGCACCTGCAGTAATTGCACCATTTGTGTTCTGCAATAAAATCATCTGTAAAGTCAGCATTTGTTAGTGAAAGAGTACGTAAGCTTTGTAATTGCACTAAGGTCTTAAACCAGTGGGTACAAGGGTGTGTACGAGCAGATAAATGAAGTCTATCTTTCTGCTACATCGTACACATAATCGTTCTCTTAGTAACTTCAAAGGGTAGTCTGTTTACAAAGCTGTTAGCATTTCAGATATAAAATACATTGTCTCACTTGGATATGGTAGCAGTTTTAGCTGGAAAAAGGAAAAGCAAAGTAAAAATAAGCTGGTTAGAGACACGAGGTCTGCTACTAGCTTCTGAATTTTTACCTTAGGGTACGTCTCTTATTTTTTTAAAGTCAGAAACAGTATTGGCAGAAATGGTCATGTCAAGGTGAAACTGTTCTTGTGTATGTTGAAGGGAAGGCAGAAAATAAGCAAAGTCCCCTGTTTCACTCAGTACATTTTTTTGCGCTGCTCACAAGCCTGCCTATTCCTAGTTCAACAGAATTTCTTTTGCTTGCCCTGACTAGCCTTATTAGAAAGACAGTGAATATCTGTGATTTTTCATTTTGGAAAGTGAAAATCATATCTTCGCAGTTGTAAGCAACTGCACCTGATTAAAGTAACACATTTCCAGAGAATTGTGGCTCTCCCTCTACATCTGCTGCCTAGTGCAGCAACATCATGAATAAGATACTGTGGAATTAATCCAAATGCAAAGAATCTTGATCACATGAAAGCATCATATGTAGCACGTTTGCTTTGAATAGAGGACATAAGCTCTAGGAAGCTATGCACTAGGAGTGTGCACTTGGTATAAACCAAGCCGGAAAAATACACGATAAGTACCTTATCAGTATTTATTGGGTATTTTCTCAGCCGATTACTAAGGGGGGTAGTAATTTGGCTATCCAAAAATGGCTGCCCCCCAAAAATCGCAGATATTTTCAGTATTTCTTCGGGCTGCCGAATAGCTTCTCTGCACCTTCTCTGCAGCGCAGCTTGTAAAACACATTTAAAGGGACCGTCCCTTTAAATGTGTTAGGCAAGCCACGCCATGAGTGAACTCCCTTCTGGGTTCACTTGCAGTGTGGCTTGCCAAACACATTTAAAGGGACTATCCGTTTAAATGCATTCAGTGAACTCCAAAACTGTGAGTTCATCCTTCCAGCTTATGACATAGCTTGCCAAATGCATTTCAAGGGACCATTCCTTTAAATGCTGAGCCGAAAAATTTGGCAATTCTGATTATTTTCCAAATCTCAATTACCCCCCCCCTGGCCTGGCAGCAGGAGCAAGGAAGGGAGAGGACAGTGTGCCCCAGTAAACAGCTTGAGGCCAGATCTACCTTCATAGGTAATAAAATTTAAAAGGCTGGTGTGCTGCCAAACAGCCGTTTGCCAGAGGCATTTCCTCTCTCCTTCCCTATCCCAGCAACACCCGAAACACTCCTGGAATTCCAAGAGATAAATTGTTACCCCCAGAATTTTGGGATTGCTTGGGGTCATTTCAAATATCCTCAATTGACTCCAAACAGCTAATTTTGGTTTAATTTCAGCTCAGCTATATCCAAATACATACCCCTAATGTACAGCGACCTGGCTTATTGCCAGGCTTACCTGTGTGCCTCAATACTAGTTAAAAACTAGCTACCCATGACATACAAACACCCACCCACTGTTACCTGGCATTAGCTTCTCCACCCCCACACTGAGGTTCTAAAGATCCAGGCTTCGAATCTCAGTTTGTAGTGAGGGAATTAATTCCAATTATGTTTGCCAGGTGAATGCAAGCTAAGCCATATGTACAAGGGTATGTAATGATTAGGCACAGAGTTACTTTCACGAGTAATTTTCAGGGTGAAACACATTGTTTTCATGGACCACATATGCCCGCCCACACACACCTTTATTTATCGCTAAAGACCACTGTATCTCACAGGCTTGCTAAATGTCTTTTGTACCCATTTGAAAACTCTGCCACCAATACCAAAATGCACCGGACAGTGCCCAATTTTATCTCCTCACCTAACTATCAGTGCTGACCATGCAGAAACACCTAAGAGACGAAACACATGCCTGCCCACTATCAAAACAGCTAGGCATTTGGTATGCTTTTTAAGAAAACAACTGATATCTTGTAGACTCTCTGTCATGCAAAAAGCTAATGCAGTGTAGCGGACAAAGTGCTGGTCTTGGATCAGGGAGCCCACCTGGGCTGTATTTCACTGGGTGGCCTCCTGCAGATTACTCTCCGCTGAACCTGTCTCCCAAAATTGTTGTGAGGCTGAAATAATCCCATTTTGTTCGTGCTCAGAGAAGGAAACACAACAAAATCCAAAGTGTAACTTGTATTTTTTTCCCTCCATTTCACTGTTATTCTAAATGGGGAGATCAGTGGAATTTGAGCTGCGAAGGGAAATCAAACGACTACAGGAATACAGGACAGCCGGCATCACTAATTTTTGCAGTAAGTGTGTATGTGATAAATTAGTCATGATCGTGCTGACATATTTACACACAGGATATATCACTGAGAAGGCACTTCCTTCAGAAACATGTTTGTTTGGCAGCATTGTGCATTAGAGAAAACATCACCTCAACTGGTTTTAACCCTGGATCTCAAGGCAGCGTCCAAGTGGCAGTTGCTACACTCGTCAGTAGTGACCAGGTCTGAAGGCATTGGGGAACTAACTGGCTGACTCATGAGCCCATGAGCGCCTTTCATCCGAAGGAGACAATAATTTAATCTCTCATCATCATGTCTTACTTCCTGTGGAAAAAATCTTGCTGCCAAATAGACCCACTTTAAATCACTGGGGCTTTTTTGATTATGTTTATAAGAGCAGCAAGGCCTAACTAGACAGATATTCAGGCTCTCACATCACTTGTCTACTGAATACATTACAATCTCTGGCTTGCTTATATGTCCAAGGACTGTATCAGAAGTTGCAGCTGGGGGGAAAAAAACCCAGTAATCCACTGGCAAGGTGAGGCTTAATAACATGCCTGTCTCACTCCAGGGAACTGATAATGGAAGCTGTAGCAGAGATGTTCTTTTTTCCATCATAATTCCATAGGGAAACAAAGAGACTGTCTCTGCTGGTGTGAAGCTGCCCTAGTTACTGCATCACACAGCAACAAACCTAGATTTGCCATGCAGCAAACTTTCAGACAGCAGCAGGCAATTATGGCTCCCTGTTGAGTGTACAATGCTCATGCTTGCAAGCAGACGTTTGTGTCTGCATTTTATTTCTTAAAGCAAACACCTCAGATTAAGAACACATCCACAAGGTAACATGAGACAAGCTTTTCGGCATAATTCTCCAAACCAGATAGCGTTGTACACCTGGGCAGAGCGTGCCACTTCCAATGGCAGGAAGGGTTTCACATGATAGAATGCCACTCCACACAAAATGATTCTAGACTAGATGTTGAGGAGGGTTCCAGCTTAACCTTCTTCACAATACGCTCATTTTTATGGGTAGGAATAATTTCCTCACCACTACCTTTAGGGCGTATTCATCATGAGATCTGCCATCTGCAGCATGGTATAGTACGATCCACAAACAGGATGGCCACCTCATAAGCTTCTGTGCAAACTAGGCCTTGGGGGAATTGACCGTGGACATCTTCCATAAATTATTATCAATGCTGCTGTAACATTTCTAGAATTGCCGTGCATGAGAGAGTATTATAATTAGGGCTGTGTAGTGTATACTTTGCTAGGTAACATCACCACTTTTCTCAACTATAGTAAAACTAATTTCTACATGATACATTTTAATATTACAGAAGGCCCAGCAGGAAGTGTCAGAAATTTTTGTCTATTTTTCTTTTTCAGTTTATACTTGCGGCATGATACATTATACTTTACCTGCAAACAAAAATAACATTTGCAGTTATATGTCATTGTTTTCTGACACTTCCCACCAGGCTTCCTTACAAACTTAAGAATTACTGGTAGATGTCAACATTCACCAAATTTGACGTTTTAATGAAAAATCCATGAGGCCTTAACTGTTTGATCGTCTTCTTGTGGTCCCTGTGCAGTCATACATTTGGGTTTTGGGCCTGCCTATGAACCCAACCTTGGAGATCTAAGACAGCGAGCCTCAGAGTTTTAGTGTGCTTTTTCCTCTGCTCTGGGGAGCAGGCTGCTACTGAGCATGCCTGGAGCTGAGGAGAAAGCCCTGCCCCCACTGAGTTTCTTCTTTACCACTGCCTCATCCAGACCTCTGCTGCGTGTGTTCCTCTCTTCAGTGCCTCAGACTCTTCACCTTCTTCAACTATTTTGAACTTCTTTTTTCCTCATCGATTCCTACAAAAAAGGACCCTTAATGAGTGTTGCTTTCCTCCTTTCCTCACCTCCCCCCCCTTCCCACCCTGACAGAGTCTAAAGGGAAAAACCACCTTTTTAAAAAGCTGCCGATGGTGTGGGTTACCCTTGACGGACAGCCATTTGCTGTGTCTTTTTTGTTTGGGGGAAGGCCACCAGGTGGATACTTGTGCTCATTGTAGCAATTTCAGTAAGCAGGCCAGAAAAAATTGTGCGGCCCATTTAAGAAGTCACTTCATAGAGACCTCGCTTCACCCTTCAATGTCTCAGTCTACGGCTGTTCAGACCTTGCTGCCTCCCCCATCTGAGGGGGAGATTCGGCTGTCGACAGCTCTTCCAAAATCGAAGCAGAAGTTGGACAAAATGGAGAAATGTCCCTCGGAATCGGCGGTATTGGCAGTTCCCACAAAAGCGGAAGTCCGGCAAGGTGGGAAGCGACTGTTGGAATCTTTCCCCGATTCATTGAAACGGAAGTCTTTGAAGAAATCGACCTCTGGCGTGTCAACCCTCTTGACTTTGATGGTTCCCTCAACTTTGATCATCACAGCAGCACCTGTCTCAGTTTCAACCCAGCTCGGAACCGAGCTCCTCCTTGCTACCATGGCCTTGCCGTCTGTTGGCATACCCTCTCCGCCACCTCAGGTTCTTACTATCCCTTCCCATTAGCTGTCGCTGTACAGTCATCTACCATCCGACTTTCTAGATTCTGACTCTGCTTGTCAAGACCGACACCTACAGGATCAAGATGATTGGTTTATCAGCACTCAGTTGCCAGTTTTACCTCGCCACTCGCTGAGTTGATCTTGCTGTATGAGTAGGCAGCTTCTCAGTCAATCAAGGAGAAGAATCATTAAGATACCAGGATATTTTGGATAAAAAAGACAATCTTAAATTACCAGAACAATTATCCTGGTGGAAGAAAGCGCAACTGGAATCGATATATTTGAAGGATAAGAAACAAGGGTTTAATAATAAATTAACTGAACTGGAAGAAATTGTTTTAACAGCAGAAAACAAAGTGATAAAGAAAATATATAAGATCTTATTGGATGATGTGATGGTTGATGAAATAGTGAAAAAAATATGATTGTATGGGCCCAGAATATAGGCCACAATATTAATTTAGAAGAGTGGGAACAGATTTGGCTGAAGAATATAAAATTAACTAATGCTGTGTCATATAAAGAGAACATGTATAAGATGTTTTATAGATGGTATATTACACCAGATAGATTAGCTAAACAAAATGTTAACTGCTCTGATAAATGCTGGAAATTTAAAAATAAGATTGGCTCTTTTTATCACATGTGGTGGCTATGTGATGTTACAAAGAGGTATTGGAGATGGATTCATGAGATAATGGAAAAAATAATAAGAACTAATATCCCGTTTACTCCAGAGATACTGTTATTGAATATATTTCCGAAAGACTTTGATAAAGCAGATAGTTCATATGTCGACAGCTGCAAGGATAGTATATGCCAAATATTGGATGAGATGAGAGCCGGCACAGAATGGACTTTTCAAAAAACTTGGAAGAGATTCTATGATTGGTGTAATGTAAATGCAACTGATAGATAAATGTAGTAATTTGAGAACGCAGAAAAGATAAGCTTAGTAAAATAGATAATGAATTTAGAAATTTAATAAGCAGAAGAAGTGATAAAAGTCTCTTGTTATATGTTATATGTTGTTGGGAGTAGTTGGGTTTTGTTTGTATGTATGTCTGTAGTATATAATGAAAAAAATAATAAAAGTGTACCCTCGGGTACTTCAAAAAAAAAAAATCAAGGTCTCCATCTGCTTGTCAGGACCATAAGGGTCAACACTGGCATCAAACCTGATGTTTGTCAGTTTCCAGATCTCCTTCTCTGCGGACCTACGATAGAGGGTATTATGTTAGCCAACACTGTTTGTGTTTGCCTCTAAGATTCTCACACTTGGACTGTTACCATCATCGTGACCCATACTTCATTCACCATCATGACCAGGGTGATAAATCTCCACCCTATTCTGCGTGCCTGTCTTTGTGTAAGGCTTCTACATCTTCTGTCCCTGCTGCATCACAACCTCTTTTGGCTGCCTTAGGTGCCTCTCCAAAGCTTGGCTCACCTTTGCCTCCCATGCCGTTGGAGGCTCCTATCTACATGCCTGATGATCTCTCGAAACCATCCCATTCTACTTCGGGATCATCTTGCCAGTAATCCGAGGATTTGGATTCAGAACATAAGGACTCATTGAATACCTCTCCAGAACCTGATGTGGGACACCCGGGGTCTCTCTCACCATCGGAGGGCCCTAAGTCCTATCTTATTTATTTATTCAATTTATACCCTGCCCTCCCCACCAAGGCAGGCTCAGGGCAGCGTATTTAAAATTTAAAACAGTTAAAACAATAAATTTCTAAAAATCAATCATAAAATGCTAGTGTGCCAAGTTATAAACTGATGGCGAGACATAATAACAAGTCATCTTAGTAGCAGATCCTAATGGGGTACAATCAGCATTGATGTAGAACTATCTTGGTCCCTTTGCACCAGCGATGCACAGGCTGCGATGTTAATGCCAGGGCACAGGGGTCCCACAGTTCGGCTCCTTAATCGAATACCTGGTGGAAGAGCAGGCCCTGCAGAACTGTAAAAGGCCACACAGGGCTCTGATGTCGTCTGGGAGCTCATTCCGCCAGCACGGAGCCGCCACTGAAAAGGCCCTGGCCCTGATCAAAGCCAGCCTTTGGGGCCCAGGAAGGTCAGACACTTTTGAGACCTTGAGTGTAGTGCTCTCTGGGGAACATGTGAGGAAAGGCCTCAGGTATATAGGCCCATGACCATAAAGAGCTTTAAAGGTAAGAACCAGCACCTTGAAGCAAATTTGGTATGCTATAGGCAGCCAGTGCAGTGCTTTTAGTGCAGGTTGGATGTGCTCCCGAACTGGGAGGCCCAAGAGCAGCCTGGCTGCAGCATTCTGCGCCAGCTGAAGCTTCCAGATTTGGGTCAAGGGCAGCCCTATGTAGAGAGCATTATAGTAGTCTAGTCTTGAGGTGAACATCACATGGATCACCGTTACCAAGTCATTTTGAGACATCTAGAACACCTTGTATTGTTATAAATGACTATAAATTGATTGTTTTA